GCGCAGCAGCGGCAAGACGGTGTGCAAATGTGAGAAATGAAGAGTAACGAGAGGAAACGAACGATGCCATATCGATGGTGCCGAAGAGGCGCTTGTGCGTCCATGGCAGTGGCGCCGGATGCGGGAAGTGCTCGTAGGCCTCCACCTTTACCGCACTTTCCAACGCGTACAGCAAACCTGCCCCGGCCAGCGACACTGCACCTGCGCCGGCAGCCAGGATACGCTGAAACAAACAAACGCTCTTCCTCCTCCTCCTCATCCGAGCAGCCAAAATTCAATCCACCCAGCGGGCTCAGCGTGCCCCCTCCCCCCTCCCGCCCGCATGCACCGACTGCGCAACTCCACTCTTACAAACCGTGCATGCTGCACTTGCACCACTACGTCTGCAGCAACAACCACACAAACGTTGCTTACCCGGTTACGGTGCCCGAAAGCCGTCCTGTGCATCGTCGGCGACGACCGCGGCCCCTGCAAATACACACGCCTGTTAAGCGAACGCACACTGCCCGTACCGCGCCAACAGCCAGCAGCACACTGTGTTCGAGAACGAGACGCGCCATCCTGGAACGCCAGTGAACTCCGCAAACGCCCTGCGCACCCGCACACCCACTCTCCTCCAGTCACTCTGAATAACTTCCATCTGCCGCAGCCACGACGCACTTTAACATGCATACCCGCAAATTTGAGTAGAGAAAACAGCGCTAAAAAAGCCTACTGCTATAAAAGACAGCGCACACCTCCCGTGCAGAGTGAAGATGCAACCCAGATAGCGCCGACACACCAGGGCCCGGCTCGCCTGGTTCGCGTCGTACACGATTTGCAGAAAAATTCTGGCGATCGTAAGTAGGACCGGGGCGGTGGCGAGAGGCGGGAGTTCAAATGCGAGTGGAGATTGTTCGAGACAGGGGGGGCTGCATGGCGTAGACTGCTTGTCGGTTGGCTAGATTACGTGCATTTTTGGACGGGGGCAGGGAGGTGGGGTGATGGATGGGAAGGATGATGAAGTGTGCCCCTAGTTTTTGCCGTAAGCGTCCAAGGTAGACAAAGGGCCCTAATAATGCTTGATTACACAGTGCTCTTATGGTGGAATGGAGGGGAGCTCAGATACTGCTTTGCAGGCAGGATTTCGGAACAGCGTTGAGAAGGGGAACGAGGATATAATTCAGGAGATTGAGGCAAGAACTAAGGGAACAGTAAAGAGGGAAGGACAAAACAAAAGTAGGTTAAAGCAAACCTGAACCTATGAATAGAATCAAAAAAGCAGAGTCAAAAAAATCTGAACTTATGATGGGTAAAACCAAAAGAAAAAAAAAAAAAAAAATGCAAAAGCATGAAAACTGAGCTTCTGTCAGTGAAAACTGTCCTATAAAAATCCATCGTCAATAAGGGCTTCCCCACTTATGAAGCTAATGCTCAGGTGAAGCTGAGAGTGAATAGGTGTGATTAGATTTATACAGAAATTCAACACATTTATAATTTGTTGCCTTCGGCAGCCTGCAGCTGTGCACAGCACTTACACCTCTGTTTTTTTGCCTCCAAAACCTCGCAGAAACAAAGGCTAACTCAATTCCCGTGCATCCAGTCTATCCCTCTTTTTGCTTGGTTCATACACTACAATGGAACTTATTCGTTGTCAGCTTTACCTAAGCACCAGCTTCATGAACAGGAATTTCTCCTACTATCGATAGGTTTTTATCAGTTAGTTTCCACTCACATAGGCCCGTTTTTATGCGTTTTGTGCTGTGTAACAGCAGTACAAAACGCATATTGTTACGGGGTTGTCTG